GGAGGGACAAATGTAGAGAATGGCAACAACAAAAGCGGAAAAAACTCCCCATAATGTGGTTCTTTGTGACCAATACCTGGAACTGGTACAAGAGGTGGAATCAGTGGGATCCGTGAGCACTGCAAGACTCATTAGTTCGTTTGATGCTGCAGCTCGTTTACGTGAGCCCTATTTTTGCCGCCATTGTTTTGTATACTGCCCTTGGCATAAAAGATCTTAGTGGTCTTTGTGGGTCCTTAAATTTTAAGGGGAGGGGCGCCGGAGTTATGGTTTGGAACAGATTTGATCAACGATAGGTTATGGGCTCAAAAATTGGTGGCACGCTTTGTTGGCCTCTTCTACGATTTGTGCGCATATTTTTTTACCCAGTTTTCGAAGATCGATCGCGTTATCAGAGGGAGCAAGCATAGCGAACGCACACCAACGCATAGCTTATGAAGCTTGCCATCAACTTTCAAGTGTTAATTTCTGTGATGCTCACGGATTCTGCCCCTTTATTTTGGCATTTCAAACTTAACGCAACACTTGTACCTCCTACAGTTAATTGGGCGGGATACATACTGTTAGACAATGCAAAAGTTCGTGCTAGATTTGCCAAGAGCAGTACTGGTTTTCGTAGTCAAAAAGGGGATTAGAGGCTAGCCCTTGCTTGAAAAAAGAGTTAAGCGGCTCAAATATAAATGATAAAATGGTACAGCAGCACAGGAGAGAAAAAAACACGCGAAATGGCTCATGCGGGGTTAAAAAACACGCGAAATGGCTCATGCGGGGTTATCTTGCTGAACCGCGCTTGTATGTGCATAAGGCAGAGAGAGCGCATGGTAGGACGAGTTCTCATTTGCTGATGCCAGCTCTCCGTTTTGACCACCTGACTCTTACCCTAGGAAATGGGAGAGTCAGTAGTGAAATAACCGCTTCTTCAGTCAAAAATGAAAGTACGGCGGTGCTGTGACCTCGTCGCGAGCGAATCGATCTTTCCTAACGTATTTTTGAACTGCGAGGATAGTACATCTTCCATGTTTGCGGACAGGACCACCATGTCCAAAAAAGGCGTCCGAGCATCAAATGAACGCGGGCCTGTGCTTGAGGGTTTGGCTGAACGAAACCAGTTGTCGTAAGAGGAAACGCGGCTGGTATATACATCGCAGGCGGTGTAGTCTAAAATCTTCAGATTTTAAAAATTGAGCAATATTAGTTCTCATCAACGAACCTTGTCCTGCAATTCTGTTTGGAAAATTCCTACGCTTGAATCAAATTACTAAGTATTTGCTAAATATATTCCAATGAAGAAAGACGCTTTCCTCCACTAGGCAACATAATTCATTTTTACGCGTCTGTTAAAAAACTGCACGAACTTTTGCAACAACCCAATACTCAAACTGTAGGCATTTTACTTGAGCGATAATATTATTTTACGTGGGTGACAAGCAAGGAAAAAGGGATTTTATTGTTCGAGTAGTAGTAGTAGTAATAATCCGTGTTTTCATATTTGCCGTCAAAAATGAGATTTTTTTGAACTGTGCTTGTCGCAGGTCGGCCGTAGCTGGGTTTGCAGTCACGGCCGCAGTTGGCGGCTAGTAGCAGAAATGCTGTCGAGCAGAGCAGAGCAGCAGTAGCAGTGTTGAGACCAGATGTGCAGCCGTGCGGTGCAGTGCCAGTGCAGAACAGCACCTCAGGGTGCAGAACCTGTCTATCAGCATCTGCGATGCTGAATGAACCTGCTATTGCCGATTCCACGGCCATGGTGGTCGATAATCAAGCTTTCTGAATAGTTACAGCGTTTCCCGCGTTTTCTATCTCATCGAGCGGCTCACTCAGGGTGATAATTTGTCGATTGTTGATTAGAAAAGTTGGTGCAAGCCTTGTTGCGATCCTTCGCACGATTTTATCAGTCATTATCCAGCACTTTGTCAGCTTTAAGAGCCAAACAAACTTCCATGGCACGTGAGCTCGATAAGTGTTTTCTAGAAATCTGAGCATAAATTTCTATTTTGTGAAATTCAACGATCCCGAAATGTCGTGTTATCGTGCGAAGGCCAAACAAGGCTGTGAAGCGTCTCCATTTTACATCATTACTTAACGCTTCCATTAGGTCTCGCTCACGCTCTCCTCGTCGTCGCAGTCGTAGCCGTTCCCCACGTCGTTCGAGGTCTCGCACTCGCAGCAAAAGCCGTAGTGCGTCGGTAAGTTGAATTTTTCAGAATTTGTTTTCTTTTTGCTACTGCTCAAAAACGAAACTGCACCGCGATTACCTCTGAAGGGTCAAACGTAGCATTGAGGAAGGTTTCTTACTCAACAAGGTACCCTTTCTCCCTACACAAGTGCTACACTTAGAGGAACGTAGACACTTCTGCTCAACCACCAGAAATAGTGAAATGGCCGCATCGCCGACAAAGAGGATCCTCTGGTCGGCGACGCGACAGAAAAGGCTATTTCCCTTTAAGGGGCAGCATTTGTGAGGGGAGATAACTTCGAAAAACTGCTACACTTATAATTTCTTCGAATCTATTTCTGTTTAGTTTTTTTGCTGACCTGACACATATTTTATCAGAATTGGATCTAGAATGGTAATACGCATTCTATTTGAAGTTGTAGGCACATAGTGCAGGTAAACGTGTTATAAGTAGAGGTAATTGTAAGATGAATCTTACAGTTTCTTACGGTGCAGATTCGTTTTCTCCTTCTAAGTAGATTTCACTGTTCATTTGTGAATGCATCAAATTCAGCCTCGTCGAAGCCGCAGTCGTAGTGCTACCCCCAGAGGTAGGCGAGGATCCGCGTCTCCAAATGGTAAGGATGGAACACCGGATCGAGGCGGTTCTGATACACGGGGCTCGCGAAGCCGAAGTCGTTCTGGAAGTCCTTGAACAGAACACGCATCCCGCTTATTACATCACGAGTTCGCGTTTTTGATTGTACTGTTGTTTTACTGTTCTGTCATCTCTCCAAAATTTGGAAATCTGTACGATATTAATCAGTAATTTTCCTGTAATGCTGTGTTGGTTGTGTTTGTTTAGTTGTAGTGTTCTGCCTTCATTGTACTGCTTATTTTTGATTTTTGGTGTAAAAGTTGACCAAAATTTTTCTAAACTTCTTTAGAAAACCGCAATAATAATTTTCCTCAAAGTTGGGATGGAGGAGGGGCTATATGTTGTTACCCTTCCTTTCTTCGTGTTATTAGCGCATATTAGGTCATCTCATTGGAAAATGTGGAGACAAATGGAATATTGGCAGGAAAACAGAAGTTCCACTTAAAAAGTCCTTTACATAGCTGAACGTACTGACTGAAAGCCAGTACGTTTAGCTATGTATAATCCGTATCCCTGAGATGGAGTAGGCGTGGCACCTGAGCATGGCACAGAACGGGTCATTCAAGGGAAATTTCAGTTTTTTTTGGATAGAGACACGACCACAATTGTGTCAAAATGGAAATATTTCTCCAAAAGCACAGCAACGGCACGTTTAGTTAGAAAACGCAGCCACGCCTACCCCGTCTGTAGGATTTCGAGTGTAACTGTAAACTTGATCGGCATGGCCACAGTAAAATATCGCGAAATTAAAAAGTTCCGAGCCGCCAAAATCCGGATTCTGAAATTGGGCCCACGGGAGGGAATGCGCCACTCAAATTTATCCTATGCTGGGATAATATTTGCGTATAATGGTGTTCTCGGAATGGGAGGTGAAATATGTGGTTCAGAAGCCCAAAGAAGGAAATACGAAGAAAATTTTCGGGAGGGCCAATAATGTTCTTCACGCACTAGAAAAGCGGGTGGATGATGTCAGTTGTCGAAAATCTGGTCATAGAAACTGCACAGCTGTCGAGCTTCCCTGTGAGGTTGACATTCCTGCTGCACTCTTGGCCGTATTACACTCGAAAAATCGAGGATGGTCATTAGGGTCTGTGTTTGGGTACCTCATTTTCTTGCAAGGGCACGGATGTAGATCCGATTCGATGCCTGCAGCGGCAGTGTTCTCCCTCTAGGACGTCATTGAAGTCTGTGAAAATGCATCCCGACCCTGGATAAAATATGAGTGCTCTTGTACTCCGGCCTGCGGCTTGATACAACCATTGGCTTGGAATCAGGGCATGTCCTCCCGCTGATGAAAACATTAGGAAAGCACGATCCCCTTGTTCCCTCCACTGATACGACCCCCCTCCTTCCCCATCCTACCTACCACTTTTCCAGTTTCTCGGAATTCACCGAAAATTTTCTAGTTTCTCCCCAAAGCTCTGATGTCAATGTTGAAAAAAAATGCAACGGTACATGTCCCCGTGGCTAATACGGACCTCCTCTCCTGACAATGAGCAAATACGACCCGCTGCTGGGGTTTCCTCAATGTAAGACGTGGTATGCTTGGAATAAATGCACATCTGTGTCGTGAGGAGCTACGTGGGTCCAAAAGGACTGTAATCATGGCAATGGATTCCCGGGTTGTAGCTCCTCACAACGGGATCGACAAATGGATGGTAACAG